TACAGGCCTCAGGGCCTGGTCTGTGCACTATTTGGCACGATACCACTTTTTTATTTTTTATTTATTTATTTAACCACTCCCACGTTTTGTCACTTTTTCTGTTCTTATGTGTGTGTTTTTCACGGATGGAGGGTGTGGGTCCTCGGGCCTTACCTGAAGTCTAGGGGGAGGATGTGTGGCCCTACGGTTCCTTCCTCCCCTGATCCCTAGGGGGTTTTCTCTTCGGGAGAACCCCCTTGCCTAGTACTGGGTGTCCGGCTTCGGCTGGGCATAAGGAACGGTGGTCCACCAGGCCTTTTGGCCAGGAGGACCAAATGGGAACCTTGTCCCTGTCAGGAGCTTTGTGCCCCGGGGGATCGGGTGAACGGTCCAACCCTTCCGGGGGTAGGACAAACCACACCCCTAAGTGCACTTTTTCGTGTGGTGTTTTGCACTTGCACATTTTTTGTGAACACTTACGGGTTTTTTCGTTATAGTTGCACGTTTGCGGACTTAAAAAAAAAAAAAAAAATAGATGTCACTTTTCTTGCATGTAGTACTCCTCACAGCCACTAGATATCACTTTTCCTGCATGTAGTACTTCATCTCAGCCAATAGATGTCACACTTTTCCTGAGTGTAGTACTCCTCATAAGCACTTTTCCTGAGTGCAGATTTGCATACATTTGAGTAATCCCACACTTTTTGAGGGCTGAGCCAAACAGAAAAGTATGAAAATTAGGTTAATAATGGTCCTTTGCGATATGATCAGAACACTCTTCTTAATGTGCAACAAAAAAGGAAAGGGGAGAGAGGGAGAGAGAAAATATGATAATTAGATACATTGCTCTCCCTAAGTTTTTAAACAGTATGGTCAAAAAGTATCCTAATTTGTACTAGCTAAAAATGAGACAGACAGACGCACGCACAAAAGTATTGGGCCCACCCTCCAAATCATGTGATTCAGGCATTCCAATCCCCTCCATGGCCACAGGTGTATACAATCAAGTCCCTAGGCATACAGACGGCTTCTACAAACATTGGTGAAAGAATGGGTCGCTCTCAGGAGCTCAGTGACTCCAAGCGTGGTCCCGTGATAGGTTGCCACCTGTGCAATAAGTCCATCCGTGACATTTCCTGAGTACTAAATATTCCACGCTCAACTGTTAGTGGGATTATAACAAAGTGGAAGCAACTGGGAACAGTGACTCAGCCACTATGTGATGAACCAAAAATCTTTAAACCTCTCCAAAAAAACAAACAAAAAAAAAAAAGAACAAAAAAAAGTCAGCTGTAGCAGCTGGATTCTTCCTCTGATATCCTAACTTGTAGTAAGAAAATCATTCCTGCGATCTGATTGGTTTAATACAAACACAAAAAAAAAAGTTGGAAACAAAATAACGCCTTACATCATCCAAAGGGCAACATCCATTTAATATATAAACTTTATATAAACTGTACATTTGTCAAGCTCTATTTTTTTTCAATTTATAAAACTGTAATACATATTTTTTAACAAGCGTTTAAATACAGCAAGTTTGGTGGCCATGCCAGAGTGAATTCCTCCTCTAAAAAAAGGATGGAAAACACGGAGATTGATAACGAAGTGAAAAGACAAAAAGCCCCGTGTGGAAAATAGAATATTGCTGTATGACACAGTAGAAAATACAAAGTCTGTAGTGCAGGGAGCCGTCTGTAATATCCCATACAGGTCAGGACTGCACCTCCATACTGGACTGGTCATGAGACTCGCAGTGCTGACCATCTCCTCCGCCACTTGGAGGGAGGTCACAAAATAAGTCTTTGATTGATGATTTTCCGGTTAATTTCTGCTAGTGCAACGGAAAACACAAATGCTTTTTCATCAGAGAGGTTGGCATACATGTCCACTTCTTTCTCTTGTTTTTCTGGAGAGAGAAACAGAAAAAAGGAGGGAGGGGAGAGGGGGGGGGAGGGGAAGAGAGAGAGGGGAGGGGAAGAGAGAGAGTGGGGGAGAAGAGAGAGAGGGGGGGAGAAGAGAGAGAGGGGGGAGAGAGAGAGAGAGGGGGGGAGAAGAGAGGGGGGGAGAGAGAGGGGGGGAGAAGAGAGAGAGGGGGGGAGAAGAGAGGGGGGGGGGAAGAGAGAGGGGGGGAGAGAGGAGCGAGAAAGGAGAGGAGGGAGAGGGAAGAGGAGGGAGAGGGGAGAGGAGGGAGAGGGGAGGAGAAAGGAGAGGAGGGAGAGGAGAGGAGGGAGAGGGGGGAGGGAGGGAGGGAGAGGAGGGAGAGGGAGAGGAGGGAGAGGGAGAGGGGGGGGGAGAGGAGGAGAGGGAAGAGGGGGAGAGAGAGGAGGTGGGGGAGAGAGAGGGAGGGGGGGGAGAGAGAGGAGAGGGGGGAGAGAGAGGAGAGGGGGGAGAGAGAGGAGAGGGGGGAGAGGGGGGGAGAGAGGGGGGGGAGAGAGAGGAGGGGGGGAGAGAGAGGGAGAGAGGAGGGGGAGGGAGAGAGGAGGAGGGAGGGAGAGAGGAGAGGAGAGAGAGGGGAGGAAAGGAGAGTGGAGGGGGGGGGGGGGAGGGGGGGGAGGAGAGAGGGGGGGAGAGAGGAGGAGCGGAGAGAGGGAGAGAAAGGAGAGGAGGGGAGGGAAGAGGAGAGGAGGGGGAGGGAGAGAGAGGGGAGAGGGAAGAGGAGGGGAGGGAGAGGGAAGAGGAGGGGGGGGAGAGGGAAGAGGAGGGGAGGAGGAGAGGGGGGAGGGGAGAGGAGAGGGGGGGAGGGGAGAGGAGAGGGGGGGGGGGGGGGAGAGGGGGGGGGGGGGGGGAGAGGAGAGGGGGGGGGAGGGGAGGGGAGGGGGAGGGGGGGGGGGTGAGGAGAGGGGGGGGAGGGGAGAGGAGAGGGGGGGGAGAGAGGGAGAGAGGAGGGAAGGAGAGAGGAGGGTGGGGAGGAGAGAGGAGGGTGGGAGGAGAGGGGGGGGGGAGGAGAGAGGGGGGGGGGAGGAGAGAGGAGGGGGGAGGAGAGAGGAGGGGGGGAGGAGGAGAGGAGGGGGGGGGAGGAGAGGGGGGGGGGGGGAGGAGAGAGGAGGGGGGGGGAGAGAGGAGGAGTGGGGGAGGAGAGAGGAGGGGGGGAGAGAAAAGGGAAAAGACAATATATAAAGTGCATCATTTTAACATCTATATGAAGCATAAATAATCATTCAAATAGTGTATGTGAATACTATTCACATACACTTCAAGACACATAATATATAGTAAGTTTAATTGCAACACCAGACATTTTTTTCTTTTTAGATCGAGGGGGAAATTTAGAACTTCTATCATTTTTTTAAATGACTGTTTGTGTACATCGCAGAGATTCCTTCCATCATATCTTGCTAGATAAAGTACTACTGCTTTCTCTTTATTTCAGACGGCAATTAAAAAAAAAACCTGACATAAGTGGTAACTCCTGCCCTGTTAGTTAGATAAGAATCTTGTTTGCCATCTGTCTGTTGGAGAGATTTCTGCTCATTTCCTGTCCTAGTGTTTTTTACGGAGACAGGAAGAGAAGGAAACTCTAACCCCCCCCCCCCCCTTTCCTTAAAGGAAATGGGCATAATAAAAAAAAACCTGGCATTTGTGGACAGACATTCCCAACCAGGTAATCCTTTTGGAACCAACAATGTCCCTGTTGATAAGCCAACATCAGGTGGCTCTGATCTCCATAGCATAAGCATGTGCACGAGGCTCATGCATGTTCATAGAGCTCTCAGCTGGTGGTTAGATTTTCAAGCACACCTGACTGCCCTCCCATATCTATGGCCAGCCTTGGGAACAAGTTGAAGGCCCTTAATGCACGGACTACCCCATCCTCAGCTGGCTGCTTTACCTTCTTCCATTATTATTATGGTTATTTCTTTACACACTCCATTTTTTTTTTAACGAACAGATGCAAATTTAATACAATCTAGCCTACTTTGACTTATCCAAGAAAGTTTGCAAATATAGCTTTTTATCTTTTTCCTTGCTCATGCTGTCCCCAACAAGTTCACATTTTCTGTTCCACTGACCACCAATGCAAGGGAGCATTCTTCTTGCTGACTACCAATGCAAGGGAGCATTCTTCTTGCTGACCACCAATGCAAAGGAACATTCTTGCTGACCACCAATGTAAGGGGCATTCCTCCACTGACCGCCAATATAAGGGAGCATTCCTCCATGACCGCCAATGTAAGGGAGCATTCCTCCACTGACCACCAATGTAAGGGAGCATTCCTCCACTGACCACCAATGTAAGGGAGCATTCCTCCACTGACCACCAATGTAAGGGAGCATTCCTCCACTGACCACCAATGTAAGGAGCATTCCTCCACTGACCACCAATGTAAGGGAGCATTCCTCCACTGACCACCAATGTAAGGGAGCATTCCTCCACTGACCACCAATGTAAAGGAGCATTCCTCCACTGACCACCAATGTAAAGGAGCATTCCTCCACTGACCACCAATGTAAGGGAGCATTCCTCCACTGACCACCAATGTAAGGGAACATTCCTCCACTGACCACCAATGTAAGGGAGCATTCCTCCACTGACCACCAATGTAAGGGAGCATTCCTCCACTGACCACCAATGTAAGGGAGCATTCCTCCACTGACCACCAATGTAAGGGAGCATTCCTCCACTGACCACCAATGTAAGGGAGCATTCCTCCACTGACCACCAATGTAAGGGAGCATTCCTCCACTGACCACCAATGTAAGGGAGCATTCCTCCACTGACCACCAATGTAAGGGAGCATTCCTCCACTGACCACCAATGTAAGGGAGCATTCCTCCACTGACCACCAATGTAAGGGAGCATTCCTCCACTGACCACCAATGTAAGGGAGCATTCCTCCACTGACCACCAATGTAAGGGAGCATTCCTCCACTGACCACCAATGTAAGGGAGCATTGTTCTTGCTGACCCCCAATGTAAGGGAACATTCTTGCTGACCACCAATGTAAAAGCATTCCTCCACTGACCACCCATGTAAGGGGGCATTCCTCCACTGACCACAATCACAAAAGTGTGCTCGACCTTCAACTTTTCCGTGAAGTGAATTACATTTCTGGTAAAGAAAGGGGAACTAAGATTTCCAGCTGGGAAATTAAGTCCTTATGCCCCTTTCTCGCATAGGATCTGACCAGGTTCACCTGTCAATTTTCCAGGTGGACCTGATCAGACAGTCTATTCACCTCTAGAGACTGGCAGGAATAAACAGACTTTCCATTTACACCCACCTACCACTCCAATCTGGGTCAATAAAAGAAAAAAAAAAAAAAAAAGGGATCCATCACCTGCCCTCTAGGCAGATCGGATCGGAGGGCAGTTAGGTGCAAATTGTACAGCGGAGTCCATTTACTCCCAGCTGCCCATAGGACTCTCGGGGATCAGGAAGGAATTGTTTCCCCAGCAGGAGCAAATTGGATCATGCTTTGCTGGGTTTTCTGCCTTCCTCTGGATCAACCATGTGTATAGGATCATCCCTTTTTTTTTTTTTTTTTAAATGGTTGAACTGGATGGACTTTTGTCTTTTTGTTGAACAGATTAACTGTGTGACTCTGTGCTCACTCTGCATAAACTGAGCGGACATGGACCTGCCATCCGCCTGCTCTGATCAACTGGGGATCAGCGGACAGATCCCCTGCTGAGCAAAAGGGAGTCTGCCCCGTGTGAAAGGGACCTTAGTCCTTGACATTTGGCAAAAAAAATTGAGCTGAATAGGGGGGGTTTAGGCCACCAGCAGGGGCGCCCCTGGGCAATACTTTCGCTTTATTGCCTAGCTTTTTTTTTTTTTTGTAAGTCCGCAAACATGCAAACTACAACGAAAAACCCGTAAGTGTTTCACAAAAAAGTGCAAGTGCATAAACACCACACAAAAAGTGCACTTAGGGGTGTGCTTTGTCCTACCCCCGAAGGGGTTGGACCACTACCCTGATCCCCGGGGCACGAAGCTCCTGACGGGGACAAGGTTCCCATTTGGTCCTCCTGGCCAAAAGGCCTGGTGGACCACCGCTCCTTATGTCCAGCCGAAGCCGGACATCCAGTACTTGGTCAGGGGGCTCTCCCGAAGAGAAAACCCCCTAGGGATCAGGGGAGGAAGGAACCAAAAGGCCACACATCCTCCCCCTAGACTTCAGGGCAGGCCCGAGGACCCACACCCTCCATCATGTGAAGAAAACACACACATAAGTAAAAGTGACAATTGTGGGAGTGAAAAAATAAAATAAATAATTAAATAAATCTATAAAAACAAAAAAAGTGGTCGTGCCAAATTGTGCACTGACCAGGCCCTGAGGCCTGTAGCAAAAAAATTGCCCAGAACTTAGCCAAAAGGCCCGGTCCTAGAGGCGCAGTGCAAAAAGTGTTTAAACTCAATGACCATGCCTATGCCTAGCTTCCTACTCCTGAAGGTGGCGCTATAACACAATAGTCAAAATCAAAGAATTGTGTCCTTCAATGGAGGGAAGGAAACATTTTAAGTTACTTATAGAAAGCATGCATTTCAAACTTCATTGTTAAAAGAAAACGGTTACAATTTTTGGCAAAAGCAAAGCCTAAGGATTTGGAAACTAAACAGCAGAATAGTAGACATCAAACCAGCCCCATTGCTCACCAGAGCAATCTCTCCCACAATGCAATTGCTCGCCAGCAATCACCTTACCTTCTCCCATCCCCTGCTGCCTCCTACTCCCGCGGTCTGCTCTCAATGATCTGGATTCGTCGCTGCTCCCTGCTGACGGTCTGTCAACTCCGGTCTCCTTGAGGCTTCCAGCTGCCGGGTAAGACTAATGGGTTAGGGTTAAAGCTGCAGCAGGAGGGAGGGGTGAGGCGTGATGTCAGCAATGGAGGAAAGGTGGTGATGGTGGGGGTGTGTTTAGCTTTAGAATGGGTGGGGTAAGATCTAAAAAGCCCATTAACATTCCTTTTTAAATAACTAAAGCCCCAAACAATACAAGAGTGTAAAGTAAAATGTTAAACTTCAATTAAAAACGAAAAAAAAATAAATAAAAAAGTACTTCAAAACGCAGTGCGTCAGTTGTCTTCTCGCTCAAAAACTGGCTGTGGGTGTGAAAAGCGGGGTGGAAGTGATGCAGGAATTAGGGAGTTGCATAGGAAAAGGCTGCAGAAGCGCTGCAAGGCCAGGGTGTCCTAGCAAGTTAAAGGAGGCAAGCATGGTTATGGATGCGCGTGGGGGGTGGGGTGGGGTGGCAGCGGGAGGGTCTGGCCTAGCCTTACCTCCACTTATCAGCACTGAGCTCATTAGACCAGCTGCTTCATATGTATTATGTAGATCACATGATTCACAAGCAGCAACTAAACAGCACAGTGGTTAAATGGTTAGCACTTCCGCCTGGCAGTACTAGGGTCGTTGGTTCGAATCCCAACCACGGCACCACCTGCCTGGAGTTTGCATGTTCTCCCTGTGCCTGCGTGGGTTTCCTCCGGGTACTCCGGTTTCCTCCCACACTCCAAAGACATGCTGGTAGATGAGTTGGATCCTGTCTAAATTGTCCCTAATATGTGTATGTATGAATGTGAGTTAGGGACCTTAGACTGTACGCCCCTTGAGGGTTAGGGACTGATGTGAATGTACAATATATATAAAAAAAGCGCTGTACAAATTGATGGCGCTATACAAGTACCTGAAATAATAATTTTTTCTAAAAAAATATAAAATAAAAAAAAATAAGCCTTTAGAAATCACTAACTCGTGATATGCCTGATTTTACAAAGTAGCTGAATTCCTGGAATTCAGCTTTAAAATTGCTGGCGGGATAGTCTCAGGTTTAAATGGGCTAAAATAATAAACATTAAATGCTCAGTAATAGGCCCCTGTACATGGGCACCCGGGGTCGTACAACGTATAAATTCCCGCGTATATACCCACCTGGAAGCCAGAGGTGCCCATAGAATATCAATGGTGGTTTGCGGATGTATGAGAGTACTCAGGGGGCAGACTGGCAACTCATGGGGCCACCGGGCTATAGGGGATCATGGGGCCCCTGTGTCCTTGCCCAAACTCAAAAAAGCCTATGAAAAAGGTACCAGGGGCATCTCATGGGGGCCCCTTGGGCAGTGCCAGAGTTTCCAAATGGTCAGTCCGCCCCTGAGAGTACTTGTGTGAATATGTGCATGCGAACACACATATGACCCTGGGCACAAATTGTCTGCATCCAAGGGCTTATGACCATATGCATGCATGTGTGGGGACATTTCCACTCACTTCCTGTTGCATCTCTGGGACAGGACAAGAAAGGGAAATCTCCTTGCAGGGGTAAAGACAGCCCAAAAAAACCTGACAAATTCTAACCCTTCCCAGCGCCACGCAGGAAACAAAAATAAAGTTTTGGATGCAGATTAAATTGCATTTTAAAGGTGAGTTTTTAGTCTGAAAAGCAGAAAATAAAGCATGTATGCAGAATTTTTACAAAATTGATGCTCAGGAGACCAAGACTAAAGAGACCATGGCAGGAGGGGTTGCTGTAATGATTCCTGGGAAGGGTGTTAAAAGTTGACAGACAAAAAACTGACCTATCACAGCCAGCATGAGACATAATTAATAACACTGCAGTGTGGGCTGTAATTAATCAGTGCTGCGAGCAATTATATAGTCAAACATTCCGTAACCCATAGCAAATGTGATTATTTCACATCAGTCTGTGAACGATGATTGCTGATTGGTTCCCAAGGGTGGGGAGTTGGGGTTGGGGGGGGGGGGGGGGGGGGTATCGCAGTTAGCACACAATTATTCAACTTCTAACATCAGACCGACTACTCTACAATCAATTATTATTTACCAGCAGAAGAATTCCATTTTATCCTTCTTTCCCTTTGGGACAATCTAATCAAGAATGTAAAATGACAAATCAAAAACAAGAGGATGCAATCATTTATGAAGAAATTAGGATTAAAAATGATTATGTATACAGAGTAGAGATATAATATTGAAGATGTGGTTCTCTATCCAAATCTCGCATCATTTTAGTCATATGTCCTGTAAGAATGACCCTTTTCTCTGCTTCCGGCGTCCCTCCACCCGCTGAAGGCATTGGATAGAGTCTAAATTCATGGAGGATAAAAAGTCTTGTGTGCGGTAAGTTTTCCAAAACGGAGTAAACTTACATATGGCCTGCTGTGAATTGTAATAATCTGTCTGGTCATGTATGGCTCCAATCGCACAGCACACAAATCGCATGTGATTTGCACAGGTATACGGTGCGGTTCCTGTGGGAATCACATGCGATATACTGCACATGTGTGAACCCAGCCTCCAGGTCCGTACAGCTGGCCACCACCCGTCACCGGTTTGAGCATGTGGCTGACGTGGAACACCTGCGAATCCTTTGCAGGCGAAGACAGAAAGGTCATACCGGCGTACGGATTGCTATGCCCATGGGAACGCAGGGATAAACTGCCTCGCTTACCTTATTCCTGCCTCTGGCGGGCTCTATCCTGTCCTCAAGTTCCGGACAGACCGTTGGTGGCTCCTCAGCATCATCGCACACGGCCCGGACTATCAACCCTCCACTGTGTGTAAGGAGGTAAGCCCTGTGACTGCGGCCCAAATCGCACAGAGGACACAGCAAGGGTCCGGACGCATGGATTGAGGTAGTCTGCTTGCAGCCAGGAATAAGGCAAGTAATACACCTGATCCCTGCACCCCTAAACAAGCATTTACCATAGCAATGTGTGTCCGTTCGTGTGTGTGTCCCGTTCGTGTGTGTCCATCTCTGTCTGTGTGTTTTCGTGCGTGCGTCCGTGTATGCGTTTTCGTCCGTGTATGCGTTTTCGTCCGTCCGTGTGCTCTATATATATATATATATATATATATATATATATATATATATATATATATATTATATATATATATATATATATATATATATATATATATATATATATATATATATATATATATATATATATATATTAGATAGAGAGAGAGGCGCCCACTGTAAGGGTAGACCTTGTCTCAATCCCCTGATGGGTTTTAAGGACATTTGGCCCTTCGATATAAAGATTTCTCCTCACTTCCTGTCCTGCACCAGGGCAAAACTGGCCACAGGGCTCAAATTTAATCTGACTCTTGTAAATCGGATGAAATATGAGCTGTGGGTGGCCCTGCCGCCACCACCAGGCTTGACAAACTTTGAGGAAAAAAAAAAAAAAAAAAAAAGAAGAAGATGGCTGAACAGTGACTGTACTTAATCAGTCACGGTTCGGATATTTTGAAAGCCACGGGTTTCGGCTGTCAGAATGCAATGTTTAGCCTGGATTGGGGGAAGTATGGATTTCCCACATTCAGCCCGCTGATCTGGATGAGAGAAATGTTTTTTGTATTGCCAGCTTTACTCTCCAACAGCAACATACAAATAAGAGAAGGATATAACCCCCCCCCCCCCGTCAGCTTTTGATTTCTGTTTCTTTGTTGCAAATGTTCCACCATTTCCCGTTTGATAAAATTTTCAGCAGGACAGGAAATGAGGCAAAATCTCTAAACAGTAATAATTCAGAAATAATATAAAAGAAAATATAGGAGTGCCTTAAAAAAGTATTCATACCCCTTGAAAGTTTCCACATTTTGTCATGTTACAACCAAAAACATAATCCCAATAAAATACAAAGTGGCACAGAATTGTGAAGTGGAAGGAAAATGATAAATTGTTTTCAAAATTTTTTACTAATAAAATATGTGAAATGTGTGGCATGCATTTGTATTCAGCCCCCTTTACCATGATACCCCTAAATAAAATCTAGTGGAACCAATTGCCTTCAGAAGTCACCTCATTAGTAAAGAGTCCCCGTGTGTAATGTAATCTCAGTATAAATACAGCTGTTTTGTGAAGCCCTCAGAGGTTTGTTGGAGAACATTCGTGAACAAACAGCATCATGAAGGCCAAGGAACACACCAGACAAGTCAGGGATAAAGTTGTGGAGAAGTTTAAAGCAGGGTTAGGTTAAAAAATATCCCAAATGTTGAACTTCCCACAGAGCACTGTTCAATCCATCATCCGAAAATGGAAAGAGTATGGCACAACTGCAAACCTACCAAGATATGGCCATCCACCTAAACTGACAGGCCGGGCAAGGAGAGCATTCATCAGAGAAGCAGCCAAGAGGCCCATGGGAACTCTGTAGGAGCTGCAGAGATCCACAGCTCAGAGGGGAGAATCTGTCCACAGGTCAACTATTAGTCGTACACTCCACAAATCTGACCTTTATGGAAGAGTGGCAAGAAGAAAGCCACTGTTGAAAGAAAGCCATAAGAAGTCCCGTTTGCGGTTTGTGAGAAGCCATTTGGGGGACACAGCAAACACGTGGAAGAAGGTGCTCTGGTCAGAGGAGACCAAATTGTAATTTTTTGGTCTAAAAGCCAAACGCTATGTGTGGGGGAAAACTAACACTGCACATCACCCTGAACACATCATCCCAACCGTGAAACATGGTGGTGGCATCATGTGGTGGGGATGCTTTTCTTCAGCAGGAGAGGGAAGCTGGTCAGAGTTGATAGGAAGATGGAAGGAGCCAAATACAGGGCAATCGTAGAAGAAAACCTGTTAGAGTCTACAAAAACGTGAGACCGGGGCGGAGGTTCACCTTCCAGCAGGACAACGACCCAAAAACATCCAGCCAGAGCTACACTGGAATGGTTCAGATCAAAGCATCTTCATGTGTTAGAATGGCCCAGTCACTGTCCAGACCCAAATCCAATGGAGAATCTGTGGCCAGACCTGAAAATTGCTGTTCCCAGATGCTCTCCATCCAATCTGACACAGCTTGAGCAATTGTGCAAAGAATGGGCAGAAATGTCCCTCTCTAGATGTGCAAAGCTGGGAGAGACTTTTGTAGGGGGTCCTACAAAGTATTTACTCCGGGGGGCTGAATACAAATGCCACCACACTTCCCACAGATTTGTAAAAAGTTAAACCATTTCTCATTTTCCTTCCACTGCACAATGATGTGCCACTTTGTGTTGGTCTATCACAGCAAATCCCAATAAAATACATTGACGTTTTGGTTGTAACATGACAAAATGGGGAACATTTCAAGGGGCATGAAGACTTTTTCAAGGAACTGTATGTATTTTAAAGAGGAAAGGCTAGGACCACCTCTATTGGCTGTTAATTTCTCTCTGTGCTCCTGTTGCAAATTTTCCCTAACTTCCTGTTTGGTAAAACAGTTGTCAGTCAGACAGGAAGTGAGGGGAAAGCTCTCTTACACAGCCCTGGAGAGCAGCAATTACATATATGTAAAAGCGTGGCGTAAATGGACAGTGCAATATAGGTAGCTGTAATACAAATTAATCACCTTGCAGGTGTTCTAACCAATCCGCACTCTGCAAAACTTAAGAGTTTGGCTGGTCACGCGCTTCAACAAAATATTCAGGCTGGCTGGACCCCAGTGACAAGTCTGACCTCAGAAAGGTCTTTAGCTGGTGGAGTAATAGGCAGCACTCTCTTACAGGTCATACCGCTGTGACGGGAATGACTTTGGGTGGGGGGCCCATGGAGCACAGCCCCCTTTGGAGAGGCGGGGAGACCCCTGTTCTAGCTCCCCATATCCCTATTATGTGTAAGTCACCCTGTGCCTGTTAGGGCTACAGGGTGGAATGTCCTGATATTGTGTAGACATGTATAGGTGGGGGGTAGGGGTTGTTCATTGTTTACTGCCATGTGGTGCATCCCATTGTTCTATTGTGTGTCTTGTTTGGGAGCAAACTATTATGGGATGTATGTGTTTGTGTATTGGCTTGGTGGGGGGGGGGGGGGGGTGTCTCCAGCAGCCCTCCCTTCTGATGAGACTGTCTGTTGGTGTGTCTCTTGTTACTAAATGCAGATTGCCCCGCCCTGTGTCATTAGGCAGGGAGGGGGGATTGTTGTGTATTGGCTTGGTGGGGGGGGGGGGGTGTCTGCTGATGTCTCTGGTTGCTAGATTTGGTTTGCCACACCCTGCATATGCAGGGAGGTGGGTTGTTCCCTTGAATGTTTATATCTTGTATCTGTGTTAAAATAAAGCAGTCTATTTCCTGTTTTAATACAAGTCTGGTGCTGTTTCGTCTTGTATGGTCAGCGGTGATGTCCGTGGATCTGTGTTCGGACAGGGAAGCGGGAGTTTAATGGAAATACCCTAGTGCAGTCGGGGTCCGGTTCTGTTACAACCGCCATTTATAAAGGAGGCTGACCTCCCTTCCCCCCGTTGGCAGTACTAAAATGCAGAACCTTGGGTAGAGAACCTCTGGACAGTATGTAGCAATAGATACCTTTCTCCTCTTCCTGTTTCTTTGATGTAGCCGTTTTTGGCCGCCCTCTGCCTCGGCGCACTGCTTCCGATTGGCTATTGGATCTCGACCGCCGCCTGTTCTCCAGGTCTCTACTGACTGTAGAGATGATCCGCTCTCTTTTTATCCTTTCTGTCCGCCTTCTTTTAGGATCGGATCGGTTCTCTAAAAGAAACCAAGACAGGTAGTTTTAAGAAGTATCCCGAACCCTTGTCATAGAATGGTTTAGAAGTGCTTGTATATACCACCATACAGCAGCCTATGCAGCTTAGGGAGGCAGTAAAAAAAAATGCATCTCAAACACCTGTTTTTACCAACCCCCAAATGCAATAGTAAAACCCTATCACCGCCTAAACTTGCTTTTTTAGTTTTGGGTGGTCTGGAGAAAGTCTATAACCGGTTTGTGATCCTAGGGGAGACTTTTCCACACTTCCTGTACGATGCCATTACAGGTGAGGGCAAATCCCCCTAGGGAGACAGCAATAAAAAGATTCTAACCCTTCTCCATGCATCCAAAACTAAAGAACATAAATGTAGCTGGAGTTCTGCTGTAAAAGATGATATACATGAAATGTATTAAATATTTAAAAGGGAACTGAATTCTAGAAGCTGGGTCCAAAAAAATGCAGGTAGAGGTCAAAAGATTGGTCACCAGTATAGTCTGTGGTCTCCCTGCATCTGATTGGTTCACCCATTACTGACTTACAATGCCTGGTTCTTCAGTGTTTCTATGTGAAGGCGGCCATCTTGGTAGAGGCAGGGCCTTGTTGCCTCATGTCAGAGCATCCAGCAAAAGAACACTAGTGACATCACAAAATCTCACTCCTGAGACTAGCTGTCAGATGCAGCAGAGCCTTAGATCTCACACTGCAGATATCCAGCTATCAGAAGGTGCTTAGGCGCACTCGCAATCCACGGAAGCGCACTGTGATCAGGAGGAAATGAAGACAAAAGGGTACATTTCTCAGGGGACTGCTTCGATACAATTAACATTTCCAGATGTTCTCTATATAACATATCAAATCTTCAATTTCTATGTTCAGGTTCACTTTAACGTTTTGTGCATCTCCTTGCTCAGGTCGGACAATTAGGACCGTAACATACAAGGAGGGTGAGACGTATACCTGACGTGGGGTGTATCCGCTCCATCTGTCTGGCGTGTAGAAGTTTTCTACTAATAAATATGTATCCACAGGGACAGGACTTGCAGGCCACAGGAACCTGAAACGCAAAAACACATTTCATAAAACAGATCCCAAACATATCTATTTTTGTATAAAATTACTTTTTATTTTAAAAAGGGCTTTTTTTTCCACATGCAAATATTCATAGAGCAAACAATATGTAGTGGGCATATTCCAAAATGTGCAGTAAACAGTGAAAAGCAAAAAGACACAATGCAATACCAATCTGCATATTGTACAGAGCACGTACCCATATTGTATCATTTTTTTCTCGATTTTTGAAACTCCAACCAACTCTAAAGATCCCTTGGTACATGAACAATTCTAGATTTGAAACCCAACGGAACTTTCTTTTCTGTTCTATATTCCAGGTGCATCGAAAGAAGCAGGGGTGTGGAAATTTTTGAAAAAAAAAAAAAATGACTTGTTCAGGGACTAAATCAGGGCCCCAATTTACTTGTCCCCCCTCATGACAATCTACTTGCCCAGATAAAAAAATGTTTTAACCAAAACCGTATTTAAATCGGAGGTGATATTAGGAACGTCGGGGGCATTTAAAAACAAAAGGGGCTTTATGGCGACTTAAACGTGTAATATGTTTCACATTGCGTGGTTTATCTCCTCCCCCCCTCCGCCTGTCTCCAGCACCGCACCCAGGGACTAGCAGGGAGGAAAAAGACCTTGCAGTGTGATGAACACAGATTGGCTGCTCATCAGGAAAGGGGGGGGGGGGGGGTCAGGGCTTATCTTTTATCCCTTTCGCGGCCAGAGCCGTTTGTGCATTTTTTGCACAAGTTTAAAAAAAATCATTTTAGGCCTGAAGATTACATAAAACCCCAAACCCATAAAACCCCAAACATGATATATTTTCTGAAAACAGAGACCCTAGAGAATAAAATAGTGGTAGTTCCAATTTATGTCGCATGATTTTACCACAAAATTTTAGTAAAAAATACGAGTTAATTTTAGGGCACAAAAAAAGCAATAAAATTTTCCCATTTTTTTGTAAAATATAAAAAGGAGGAGGTTGCAGCGAGTAAATAGATATCCAACTTGTCAAACCTTAAATTTGTGCACACTCGTGAAATGACAACGAACTTCAGGACTCTATATTTCTATAGGTCGAAACTTTTAAAGCTCCTTCTAGGTCAGGGGTTAAAATTTCGAGTTCAGACCTACTGCCGGTCACAAAACTTATTCGCCACCGGTTGCCCCACCCAACCTTGCCCAGGTCCGCCCCCCCAACCCCACCCCCTTAAAGCTTATGAAATTACATTTTTCTTTAGAATAGTCCGAAATATAAAACTGTATACAGTAATGTATATCCCAGCTCCCCTGTACTCCATTATAATGATATGACATGTATACAGTACTTACTGCCCCCCCCCCCCCCCCAAAATAAAAAAAACCAAAACTTTTGCTTTTTTTTTTTTCCCAATCACATGGGGACAAAGTCCCCTATGTGATGATTCTTTGGTGACAGGTTCTCTGAGACATCCAGGATCTAAAAGAACCTGTGTGTCTCCCCTGTGCGCCGCTGAATGTAATGCAGTGCACATTGCACCTCATTACATTCTTTCCAGGGGATTGCATTACAATCTCTCAACGGGGACCCGGAAGTAACATCATAATGTCAGTACAAGAAGGGGAGGGACGTGTCCGCTCTACTCCCTCCCCTCTAGCTGATGGCAAGCCGGATGGGCAAGCGGAGCCCGGGAGACCTCACGGGTGGGGCGAGCTGCCACTGTGTGGAAGTGCCGCCCGAATGCTTCCACCTGACAGGGCTAACGATAGAAACAAAAACCACCTGCCCGGCACGCAGAACTACACGTCCCGGGCGTTAGGAATCAAACATCCCTGAAAGGGGCCTATTTACTAAAGCTGGAGAGTGCAAAATCACACTCACTTCTGCACAGAAACCAATCAGCTTCCAGGTTTTTTTTTTTTTGCCAAAGCTTAAATGAACAAGCTGAAGTTAGAGGCTGATTGGCTACCATGCACAGCTGCACCAGATTCTGAGTGCACCAGTTTTAGTAAATCCACTACTAAGTCCAAAGTCTTAGTTTGTTTTTTTTTTTGGAAATCAGCCAAAGCCTGAGTAGAAAAGACTGTCCTCTGCTAACAGGGGCGGACTGACAACTCATGGGGCCCCCAGGTAATAGGGGATCATGGGGCCCCTGTGTCCTTGCCCAAACTCAAAAGAGCCTATGAAAAAGATACCAGGGGCATCTCATGGGGCCCCCTAATGACCCCGGGCCCTTGGGCAGTTCCCGAGTTTCCAAATGGTCAGTGCCCCGTCTGCCAGCATTCTGCAGAGTGGGACCCTTGCTTTCTGTGTGGAAGCAGTGGTCTCTCTGCAGAGGTCAGACACATCCTCTGAGGAGTCAAACTAATGCCGGCCACACATGGGTTGAAATTCGACCGATTTTTCGTCCGAAAATCGGACCTACGAATAATCGGTCGATTTTAGCTCTGTTAGTGGGTCAATGGCACCAGCCGATTTTTGTGGTTTTCCCCTTTTTGGTGATCAGGCATGTTGGAAAATTCCTGAAAAATGACCGATTTTCGACTTAATGATGGGTAAATCGTACGATTGCTTTTCCTAACAAATATGCACATGAGCCGTGACCTGGAAGGAACAGAAGTTTCGCCTGTTATATGGGGTGTACTTTAGGACTCGGTCGGCCGATTTTTTAAATCACTGATGGCACCATCGGATTACCGAGCGAACGACATTTTCGATTTTTGGATGAAAAATCGTTCGGAATTCAAACCATGTATGGCCTGCAATTATAGCTCTGCAATTGGCAAAGCTCACGCTTCCTGCTGATTGGAGAGCTCTAGCCCTGACTCATCAGGGGGCATGTCAGGCCGATACCAGATCCAATTAAGGTGCTTACACTGCTTGGATTTAAAAATACATTTAAAGTGAAATTATACCCAAAAATGTTATATATTGCAGCTTACCAATCAGATGTGAGGGCTGCAATACTTTTCTTTTTAGGCTGTTCCCCCTCTGTTTTCACCTGGTGATCTGGCCAGTGACACACCTCCGGTATTAGAGAGCCCCCATTCTGGATGAAGGAGAGGACTGTTGGCTGTACTAGCAGATTTCAATACACTAACAAATTGAAGCCAAACTTCAGCTCACACTTTATATAATCAGTTACAGCAAACATTTTTTTTTTCCTTTTGGGATAAAGATTTTACATTAATAAATAAAACCAATCGTAAGCACCCCTGTCAATGATAAATGGTTTGTCTCAACCCTGTAACTGCTACATCTGAAAGAGAGCTTGTTCTATTGAAAAAAAAAAAAAAAAAAAAAAACAGACTTACTGGCCAGATCACCTGGTGAAAATAATAAAAAAGAAATCCTTAAAAAAAAAAAAAAACTACTGCAGCCCTCACATCTAAGAATTGGTAAGCTGCTGTATAATAAATGTTTGCTTTTGGGTTTAATACAGCTTTAATGGTGTATCAATGATTACAGAGCTGGAATAATTCGTGTCTTAGATCTGCCTGGAGGTCAGCTTTAAATAAACCAGGTCCAAGTTCTGAACAAAGTCCATGTGTACGACAACCGGACACTAGATGGCAGACTTGTCAAACTAATACTAGACATCCAGATGAAAGACAACAAGATAGAGAAAAGAAACAATTGACAGCAATGTCTGATCAATACAAAATCAGTACATAAAAGTAATACAGGACGACATTCCATCGCAGAGGTGAACTCATTCTGCCAAGAACAATAAATGCAGAAGTGCGTTAGGTTCAGTTCACACTAGCGTTGAAAGCAGGCGTTTGAGGGGCGTTTTTATGAAAGCGATACACATTTCAGCACACAGTGCTGTTCACACTGAACCGTTAGCGTTGCGGCAAAAAATAAATATAAAAATAAATTTTATATGTGTGTATATATATATATATATACATATACACACACACATATATCTATCCCCATAAATATATATATACACACACACACACACACATATACACACACACACACACACATACACACACACACACACATATACACACACACACACACACACATATACACACACACACACACACACACATATACATATATATATATATATATATATACAGTCATGGCCGAAATTGTTGGCACCCTTGATATTTTTCCTGAAAATCAAGTATTTCACACAAAAAAGGTATTGCATTAACACACTATACACATGTTTATTCCCTTTGTATGTATTGGAACAAATATAAAACAGAGGCAGAAAAGCAAATATGACATAATGTCACACAAAACCCCAAAAATGGGCTGGACAAAAGTATTGGCACCCTTAACTTAATATTTGGTTGCACACCCTTTGGAAAACATAACTGAAATCAGTCGCTTCCTATAACCATCAATAAGCTTCTGACACCTCTCACCCGGAATTTTGGACCACTCTTCCTTTGCAAACAGCTCCAGGTCTCTCTTATTGGAAGGACAAAGAACCTTTTCCCAACAGCAATTTTAAGATCTCTCCACAGGTGTTCAATGGGATTTAGATCTGGGCTCATTGCTGGCCACTTCAGAACTCTCCAGCGCTTCTTTGCCATCCATTTCTGAGTGCTTTTTGACGTATGTTTGGGGTCATTGTCCTGCTGGAAGACCCAGGATCTTGGACGCAAACCCAGCTTTCTGACACTGGGCCCCTACAGTGCGACCCAAAATCCTTTGGTAATCCTCAGATTTCATGATGCCTTGCACACAGTCAAGGCACCCAGTGCCAGAGGCAGCAAAACAACCCCAAAACATCATTGAACCTCCACCATATTTTACCGTAGGTACTGTGTTTTGTTCTTTGTAGGCCTCATTCCGTTTTCGGTAAACAGTAGAATGATGTGCTTTACCGAAAAGCTCTATCTTGGTCTCATCTGTCCACAAGACGTTTTCCCAGAAGGCTTTTGGCTTACTCAAGTACATTTTGGCAAACTGTAGTCTTGCTTTTTTATGTCTCTGTGTCAGCAGTGGGGTCCTCCTGGGTCTCCTGCCATAGCGTTTCATTTCAT